ACCTTAGGACTTCATTGGTGTGACTGCATTTTAGATGTTAACTTGAAGCAAATTTTTTTTTTGTATTAAATTGCATTGATTTCTGCTCTGATCTTTATAATTTCCTCCCTTCTATAAGCTTTGGGTTTTTCTTCTTCTTCTTTTTCCAGGAGCCTAAGATTCCTCATTAGGTTGTTTATTTGAGCTCTCTGTTTTTGTAATGTGGGCATTCACTGCTGTGAATTTTTCACATAGAACTGCTTTCATTGTGTCCCATAGATTCCTGAATGTTGTATTGCCATTATCATTTTATTTGTATATAAACTAATTTCTTCTTTAATTTCCTCTGTGACCCATTGATTTTTCAGGAGAATGTTGTTCAGTTTCCCTGTGTTTGTGAAGTTCTTATGGTTTCTTATGCTGTTGATCTCCAGCTTAGTTACACTATGGTCTGATAGTATACATGGGATAACCTCAATTCCTTTGAATCTCAACTTGTTCTGTGAGCTAGTATGTGGTCTGTTTTGCAAAATGCCCCATGTGCAGCCAAAAAGAATGCATATTCTGATTTTGTAGGGTGGAACACTCTGTAGATGTCTATTAAGTCTATTTGTTCAAAAGCTTTGTTCAGTCCTAGTATTTCATTATTGATTTTTTTTGTCTTGATGATCCATTTGTTATAGTTGGGCATTTTGGTTCGCCACTACAGTTGTATTAGTGCTTATTTGGTTTTTCATGTCCCTTAATATTTGTTTTACATAGTTGGGGGCATTAATGTTTGGTGCTTTGTTGTTGTTGTTGTTGTTGTTCCAGGGATCGAACTCAGGTTCTTGCACTTGAGAGGCAAGTGGTGGAACCACTGAGCTAAATCCCAGGCCCTTGGTGTATATATATTTATGATTGTAATCTCTTCCTCATAGATTGTTTCCTTTACAAGGATGTAGTGACCTTCTTTGTCTCTCTTCATTTTGGTTTGAAATTTGCTTTGTCTGCAAATAAGATAGCTATCCCTGCTTTTTTTCTGGGCTCCTGTGACATGAAGAACTGTTCCATCCTTTTACTTTCAGTCTGTGAGTTTCTTTTTGAACTAGGTGTGTTTCCTTGTATACAACATATTATTGGGTTTTGCTTCTTAATCTATTCTGCCAGTCTATTTCTTTTGATCGGTGAATTGAGGCCAATGACACTGATGGTTATAACTGATATGTATTGACTTATCATTGTCAAGTTACTGTCATGTTGTTGGCTCTTTTTAATTTTTCCCCCTCTCCCTTTAGTTTCTTGCTTTGCCTAATTGATTTGCTCTGTTGGGCTTCATGGTATTTTGACCTTCATTGTCTTTTTCTAGTATATTGTTTAGAATTGTTTGTAGTGCTGGTTTGGTATTTATGAAGTTTCTCAGGTGTTCTTTGTCATGGAAGTATCTTATTTCCCCATACATTTATAAAGAGAGTTTTTCAGGATACATTAGTCTAGGTTGGAGTTTGTTCTTTTGGAGCTTGAAATACCTCACTCCAGGTTCTCCTTGAGTGTTTGTGTTGAAAAGTTTGCTGTGATTTCCTTTGCATGTGATTTGTTTCTTTTCTCTAACTGTTTGTAGTATTTTGTTCTTCTGTTGGGTTTCCAGGATCTTGACTATTATATGTCTAGGTGTAGGGATTTTTTGATCATGGCTAATTGGAGTACTATATACCTCACTTAACTGCATGTCAGATTCTTCCCCTCTGTTTGGGAAGTTTTCTGTCATTAATTCTGTGAACAGTTTTTTTCAGTCATTTGTACTTTCTCCTGCTACTTCATGGATTCCTATCAGTCTTATATTATTCTTCTTTGCATCATCTAAGAAGTTGCTGATCAATTTCTTATGATCCCTTACTGTTTTTAAGAGATCTCTCTTTTGATGGTCACTGACTACAACCCTATCTGAAATTCTGTCACATTCGTTCATTCTACTATGAATGCTTTCAGTAGAATTTTTAATCTCCTGAATATCTGTTCGAATCTGTTTCATGGATTCCATTTCTTTCCTATGTTGGGCATTCAAGGTTTCTGTTTCTTTTCTATGCTGGGCATTCATGGCTTCTATCGTGGTCCTGAGCTCATTTATTTTTTTATCTGTTTCTGTTCTATAATCTCTAATCATGTCTTTCATTGTGTTTACCATTTCTGTAGTTATTTGGGAAATTATCTCTGTTTTGAATTTTTCTAGAGCCTGATTGATCTGTTTTGTTACTTCCTGTGCTATAAGTTCAGGGTGTCCTGGTGGTTGATTGTTAGATTTTTCTACCTAGTTTCCCCTAGAATTTGCCATTGCTGAATTGGAAGTCTGTATTTGTGCCTTGTTTAAGTGTTTTTTCATATTTATTTTTGTTGTTGTGCAATCTTGGTTTAATTTCTGGGTTATTACTTTGATCTTCCTGATATAACTGCTCTTTAGGTTTTGAGTCTCTAATGACTCAGAGACACTCTCATTTTCATAATATCAGAAAGGACAATTCATTAAATCAATTGCAACCCTTTAGCCCAGTTGATACAATCAGCAACACAATACCATCAAGCACAGCTTAAAAATTCACTATTTGTGGTATTTATTATTCTATCACCTATAATCATATGAATTAAATTGAGGACCAGCCCAAAATATGTTTATAGTCAATAAACTCTTCAATATAGCAACTTTGCCCTTCAGGATGGGGTCTTAGAAGGAGTTGGGAGAAGAGGAATAGATAGTTAAAAGAATAAGAGAACGTTTCAAGTGAAGCAAGAAGACACAGGATGATCCCGCAAACTCTAGGAAACTGTTAAAGATGAGGGAAATATAGAATGCAAGAACGAAGACAAGAATAGAACAACTTAACAGTAATAGGGAAGCTATAAATTGTACTCACCTTCCCTTGAAACTAAGGACTATCAAGTAAAGAAAAAAAGAGAAGAAAAGAAGAAGAAAGAAGAAATCTGAATTAGGGCAGGAGCAGGAACAAAAAGGGAGTTGAAGAATAACATGAGGGAGCAAGAGACTGAGTGGGAAATAGAAAGAAAAAAGGAAGAATTTGAAGAATGGGAAAAGATAAAGTTTTAAAAATAGTTGTTTATTGTTTTTTTTTTTTTTTTTTTTTTTTTTTTTTTTTTTTTTTTTTTTTTTTTTTTGGCTACCAGGGATCAAACTCAGGACCTTGCGCTTATGAGGCAGGAGCAGTGCCACTGAGCTAAATCCCCGTCTAAAGTTTTAAAAATTAAAATTAAAAATAAGAGGAAAAGAAAAAAAACCGAAGAGCCTCTTTCAGAATATATCTCTGTTGTCATAATAGACAGTGTGGGCAACAGTGTGCAGAACTAAGTCAATTAGTCTCAGCTAGCCAATGGCAGAGCCCTGAAATTCAGACTGAATTCTGGCTGCAAGGCCCAAGTTGAGCTTCCTGACCTCCAGCAGGGTTGAACTCTGCAAGGTACTACTGCAGGTTCCAGCTGCCCTTCCCCTGAAGATAGTCCAAGTTCTGAAGGAAGGTGTTGATCCCTCCAACTTATCAACTATGGAAGTCTGATGTGCCTTTATTGCAGTTGTTTTACTTCTGTTCTATCTTCTGGAGCTCAGTAAAATAGCCTATATGACCACGTGTGCCTCTGCAGTGTGGATCCAGGTATTGGCATAGTTAGGAGGCCCAAGAGCACAGCAGAGTGGGCTGGGCAGTCTGCTCCGATGAAGGCCCGGGGCACTGGAGGGTAGGGGAGCAGCGAGCTCACCTTGTGGCAGGGCAGTCATCACTGGGCTGCTCCGATGAAGGCCAGGGGCGCTGGAAGGTGGGGGAGCAGCCTAAGCAAATCTTTTGAAGATCTATACAAGATAATTAAAGGCATAAAACAGAACTTCAAAGGAAATCACACATAGGCATGTTATAGTCACATGGTGAGAAAAAGATTCAGAAATGAACATTTCCTTTTTTAAAATAAAATGAACTACAACTAGTATTTTTATACTTTCTGTTATACCTTTATAAAATACAAAATACACTTTTGTAAACACTAAAGCTTACCATGTAAAATGTCAGCAATACCTTTTTTCAGTATAAATAATTCATGAACTGATTATTTTCCTCCTTTTAGGTAAAGCAGCCAGTGCATTTATTTTAGATTAAATACTTTAAAATATACTTTTGGAAAATTACAGGAGTATGAAAAAAATCCTTTAAATTCTTACACTTTTTACTATTAGAGCTTGGAAACATTACAAAATATTTTTCTTTTTAATTTGTATGAAAATAATAATGTGTAGAAAAAGAGCAGAGATTTTTGTTATGTAGGCAAATAATGGTAGTTCAGACTTTACTTTTTAACTGATGTTATTTTCCTCCTAAAAAACAAAAAAATTAGGAAGGAGACATTCTTTTGACCTAAAATCCCACCTCACGGTGCTTTTCGAACAATAATGTCAGAGCAGTCATGCTCTTGTCACAGTGAGGTCCTTGCAGTGAAGTGAGCCTTTCCTTTACTCCTGCAGGGCCAGAACCACCAGCTCCCGGTTCTCAGGGGAAGGGCACCTGGGAATGTAGTGACATGCATCTCTGCAGAAGGCAGTTGTGCCTCTGCAGCTTTCTTCTTAGGGCCAAATTAGCTGGTCTGTGTCCATTGATAAGAAGGAGACACATAAAAATAAAAATACACAAGAAATTTGCTAGAATCTCATTTTTCTGCCACATGCAAGTGGAACAATAGCTCTCAAAGTAAACCAAAAAAAAAAAAAAAAATCTACGTATCCTGTGCAGTATCTCTGTGGCTGTCCTCACATCCTAATGACAGACTCTGAGAAGTGACAGCTGAGTTTTCCAGAGAGGTTAATGATCACATTGGACAAGGTTACTGGTACACTGTGCTGTGGTCAGTAGTTTCTTGATAGTTGTTGCAAGCAGTAGAAAGCTGTAGCATATCATGTGGATTTGTATTTGATTAGTAAGTTTGATGTTCAATTTTGACATGAAAATTTTGATATGAATTAATACTTTGCCTTTTAAAAAACAAACTTGCAGCTAATTGGCCGAGGTCGATATGGAGCAGTATATAAAGGTTCCTTGGATGAGCGTCCAGTTGCTGTAAAAGTGTTTTCTTTTGCAAATCGTCAGAATTTTATCAATGAAAAAAATATTTACCGAGTGCCTTTGATGGAACATGACAACATTGCTCGCTTTATAGTTGGAGATGAGAGAGTCACTGCAGATGGGCGCATGGAATACTTGCTTGTGATGGAGTACTATCCCAATGTAAGTTTTTCATAAAAACAAATTCATTTATATTAACTGTCAATCAGACTTACGGGAAGATATCTATAATAAAGAGCATTGCTGGTTCATAGTCTGGTGATTAATGGTCTGCGGTGAGATACAGAGCTCATGCCAGAATTTGAATCAGATTCATCACTAATTATACTGTTTATTCACCTCTTGCTCCTCCCTTCTCCGTTTTTTTTTCTCTTCTGATTTTTTGGTAGCTAGATTTTTCTCAGGGAATGAAGCAGTACTTTGATATTTATTCTAGTGTAAAGCTCCTTACCTCATCAGAGACTGGGAGAAGTTTGTGGATAAACACTTTGAGTAGCACAGATACATACATACATTCATCCCTCAGTTTTCTTGGGGACTGGTTCCAGGACAACTTACCACCCCACCCACCCACACACACAGATGCCAGTATCCGCAGATGTTCGAGTCACTCATATGAAATGGCAGGTGGTATTTTTTTCATACAACTCAGGCACATCATGTGTAATTTATTTACAGGAAAAAATAGTATCCATATTCAATACTAATTAATTGTTATTGTTTTGTTTTTGTGATACTGCTAGGCAGGCACTCTCACCACTGAGTTATAGTCCACAGCCCTTGGTAATTTTTTATCTTGATTGGTTGAATCCGTGGATATGAAACCCACAGATATAGAAAGAGCTTACTACATTTATAAAAGCCTTCTGTTTTCTGCTTGTAAGCCATTTGTAAACATAGTTTAAAATAACCCCATATATAATCTTTAATATTGGAGACATAAAAATTGATGTTTAAATTCTTCCCTTTCCATCCTCTTTCTTGGTTTCTTTACATAGATACACATTGCTGCCTTTCTCAAGATTCTGTAATGTAGTTCATAAACTCTTCATGCTGATGCAAGTCCTCTGTTAGGTTGCAAACTTACCTTTTCCTGTTAAATTAATTCCTTGTTTTTTGTTTTTTGTTTTTTGTTTTTCTTTACAATTTTCCTCCACATAGGGATCTCTCTGCAAGTATTTGAGTCTTCATACAAGTGAATGGGTAGGCTCTTGCCGCCTGGCTCATTCTGTGACTAGAGGGCTGGCTTATCTTCACACAGAATTACCACGAGGAGGTAAGATAGTGAATAGAAAATGAATGACATTCAAATGGGTTCAAAATTCACATATTTAGAGATTATATTAACCAGTTTGTTTTTTTTAAAGATCCAGTAAGAGGAGCCATATTTGAAATGTAACAGCAAGAACAAGGAAAAAAATTTTAAAACTCTGGATCATGAATCCCACTGAGAACCTAATCAGAGCTCTGAAAACTCCAAAAATGCACTGCCATATGACGCAGTGGTAGAGCACTTGTCTACAATTAATGTAGCCCTGGGTGTAGTCCTCAGCATTGAAAGAACAAGAAACAAGAAAATGTTCTTTTAGTAGGGTGCGGTGGTCTATGCCTATAATCCCAGCACCTTGGAAGGCTGAAGCAAGGAGATCACAAATTCATTCTCAGCCTGGGCAATTTAGCATTTTAGGCTTTGTCTCAAAAATAAAGAGCTGGGGTTGTAGCTTTGTGTAAAAGCCCTGGATTTACTCCCAAGTACCTTAAAAAAAAAAAAAACAACTTTTGATTCTAGGATTATCAGTCCCCTGAGGTCTCTTTGTAGACCCTGAGAATCTTTTAGCTAGACTGTATTTCCTTGTATTTATTTTATTGCATAACCACTTCTTTGTTTTGGTTTTGTTCTTGTTTGGGCAATACTACAGGACTGAGCCTCTGTACACTGTATTTCTAGGCAACATCCCCAACAGTTTTTACTTTGAGACAGAGTATCATCATTAAATTTCTGAGTTACCCAGCCTCGGTTCAAACCTGTGGTCCTTTTGCCTCAGCCAAGCAGAGTGCTGGGATTACAGACATACCACCATACCTAGCGTCACCTTTAGTTTTAACATCACATTGATCTTTCTTCCATAGATTAGTCTTTGTATAAAACCCACATGTATATTTTTACAAATCAGTGCCTCTGTCAACTAGAATTAGGTTTAGCTAATGTTGATTTCAATAAGAATGTAAAATTTTCTTTTCTTATATAAGAAGCTAAGGAGGAGGGCTCTGGATGTATCTTAGAATGCTTGCCTAGCAGGCATGAGTCCCCTGGTTCAGCCCCCAGCACCACAAAGAATCTAAAGAAATTTTCTAGGTGTCCAGGTTGGTTTAGCAGCCTGACGGTATTCTCAGTGCACAAGGCTCCTATATTCTCGCATCGTTTATATGTGGCTTTCATTTTCAATGTTGCCTCATTGTCCATTATGCTATAATTGATGCAGAAAAATAGAAAAGAAGAAAAGTAAAAAGAATTGTCTCCTTTTACCTACAGAAATTTCATTCTTGTCCTTACATTTTGTTTCCAAAAACTAGTTCACACTTAGAGATAAAAGAGACTGGGAATATAGTTGTTGTTTTGCAAAGTGTATTGTTGCCTCAGAATAACAAATTCTTTTACTGTGTAAAAGAGGGAGAATTATATTCTTTGTCATAACTAGCCTTGCTCAACTTTCATGTACATTTTGCTAGTGGTTCAAAGCGTTTCTTTTTAATACATTTGCTTTCTCACTTTGTTTCAATATACACCTCACATCACAGACACCCCTAAATTAGCTTGGCTGTGATAATTCTGTCTTTGCTTTCTCAAGCTTTCCTCCCTTACTACATTTTTTTTGTCATTTCGTAGCCCTAACATTGTTTTTTCAGTCTCCTTGACCTCTTTAGTAAAGAGATCTTTAATGTATCAGTTTCTTAGATCTTTGTTCCATTATATAATAGCATGGATCATCTTTTCTAGCTGATGCTTCATATATAAATAATATCTTCTGAATAATTTATCAGTTCATTTATCTTGACATCTTGCTTTTCCTGAGTACAGAACTGACCTGAGTTAGTTGCCTATGTCAGCACTTGATGTGCTTTCTTTAGTGCTTTAGCACATTAACCATTGGACTCTGTTCCTGCACTCTCAAGTATTATCATTCCTTTTAAAAGCTGGCTTAGCAAAGAACTTAGAATACTATCCTAGCTCCCTTTTCAAGGTTTGCATGATTCAACAAGGCTTCAAGTCAAACTTCGGCTGAAATTTTTTTAAACGGCCGTTCTAAAAAATTAACTAATATTATGACCTGTTACCTTTTCAAAAACTTCATATAATTACTTTAGCTTTTTGAATTTATGATTTTGCCTAATTTCTTTAAAAAGATTTCCAAGAGTATGATAGTATTTTAAACATTTAAAGCGTTCTTTTAGAGAATTTTGTTCTTCCCAGTATCTATCAACTTTTTTTTTTTTTGGTACTTGGGATTGAACTCGTGTCCTTGTGCGTGCGAGGCAGGCAGCAGAATCACTGAGCTAAATCTCCAGCCCTTGTTCTTCCCAGTATCTTCAGATAAAACTTTATTGCTCAGAGTAGAAATTCAGTATTAAGAAATAGTACTGGTACTATTCTCATTCAGCTATTTTTTCTCAGAATAAGAGGAAATTGATCCTATTTATTTGTAATTATTCTCCCTGTGAATTTGTCTCATAATAGCAATGCATGCTCACTACCAGACAAAAATCTGGCACACAAAAAATGCATATAGATTGCCCAGACTTCAAAATATTACTAAGTAGTTTTGTATTTATCTTCCATCCTTGATCCGTGTGTGTGTGTGTGTGTGTGTGTGTGTGTGTGTATGGGTCTAAATAAAATAAAAGCCTGGAGTGCTTTCCTTTGAGATATTTGCCTAGTATATGCAATGCCCAAAGGCAAAAGTCCTTGTATGTTTTGGCCCCAACCATATTCATTCAAATAAGAAATATCAAAATGAGGCATCTGAAATGAACAGACATTTCTCAGACAAAGAAATAAAAGCAGCAAGTAAATATATGAAAAAATGCTCCACATCACTGGTGATTCGAGAGATGCAGATGAAAACAACACTGAGATTCCACCTCACCCCACAAAGAATGGCTGCTATCAAGAAATCACACAATAACAAATGTTGGTGGGGTTGTGGGGAGAAAGGAACCCTTCTCCATTGTTTGTGGTACTCAGACTGGTGCAGCCACTATGGAAATCAATATGGAGATACCTCAAAGAGCTGGGACTAGAGGTTCCATTTGACCCAGCCATCCTTCTGTAGGGTATCTTTCTTAAAGAATTAAAAGAATCATATCCCAGTGACATATGCACACCTATGTTCATAGCAGCAAGTTTGTAATAGCTAAAACTTGAAAACAGCCCATTTGCCCAACTGTTGGAAATTGGATAAAGAAGATGTGGTTTTTCTATAAAATGGAACACTACTCAGCCATAAAGAGTGACAAATTAGAGTGATTCATAGGAAAATGGATACATATTGAGGATATACTCTTAAGTGAAATAAATAAGTCACACAGGTGTAAATACCGAATAGTTTCTCTGGTGTGCAAAACTATAATAGTACACAAGATCCAGTGGGATAATTGATCATGTTAAATAGGAAGTAAAGGGCTAAAGGTGTAGGGAAAGTGGGAAGGGTAGGGGAAAGGGAATAAGGGAAAAGAAAAAATATGAGAAAATGAAAAAAATGGAAACAAAGTGTTTATAAATGGGGAGGGGAGGAGGGGATGAAGGGAGGGCAGGGACAAGGGGGAAAAATGAGAACCAAGACCTGTCATGTAAAGGTACAGGATCCCAGTAATGAATATAACTATTGTATGCCTAGATTGTCCTAATATACTCAATAAAAAGAAAAAAAATAAAAATCTCCTGCAATAAAAAAAAAAAAAAAAAGAAATATCAAAATGAAACAAAGGGGAACTCAAAAAGAAAAGGGCAGTCTGTAGCTTTGTCCTTTGCACTGGTATTGAGCCCTAACTTGTCTCTTCTTTTGTCTTCTCTCTCCCTTGCTGCTTTCTCTGACTCTGACACACTCTCTCTCTCTCTCTCTCTCTCTCTCTCTCTCTCTCTCTCTCTCTCACTCTCTAACTTTTCTTTTCTTTTTTCTTTTAGTAATAAAAAATATACTAACCTGTTTTCCTTCTGGTTGCCTCATTGACTTGTTACATGTTCTCCATGTTAGTTTTCCCTGAGTATGAAGTTTTTAAAAATTTAAATATTGATTTGATTTAGTATACAAACATTTTCCAATATTTCTATACATTCTCCTATATAAATACTAGCTCAATATTATACCATATTACTTATGTTATGGTTTCATCTGAACTAAGAGATAACAGGAATTGAGTAGAAGCCAAGTTAAATAAAAGTTTTGGTGCACTGGAACAGGAAATAGGAAAGGGAAAAATGAGAAAGAAATCAACTCCTAGATGAAGAAATTTGTTAACTCTTACTGTTTCTTCATATTGTTCTGTTGTTTTAGTTTCTGATATCATAGGGATCATTATCCTCTGCCTATAATTTCGTAGTTGATAAATTGTATTTGAATGTTTTTTAATGACAGTAATATATCTAAATACTGAGAGTCTGTTCCTAAATACAAATAGTCAATAGACTTTTCATTCACTTAAATTTGATTATTTCTTTTATTCCTAAGGGAATGTTTTAAATTTCAAAAATTCTGCTTATAGAACTTGTTTTTTTCATTTCTAGAGTTACAGTTATGTTTCATATAATGTTTATATCAGTTTCCTTGAATGAAAAAATAATACAATGTTTTATAAGAGGCTTAGGTTAGATTCTTTCTTTGAGTCAGCAAGAATTTACCCTGCATTTTCTCTAGGTTAAGCCTTTTAATTTCAGATAAAACGTGTTCTGTTTCTACTTTCATGAAGCCTATAGTCTAGTGATAAGGCTAACCAGGCAATGGAATGAATAAACATGGCTTCACTTCTATAAAACCTGACGACAAATCTTATCTTATGGGGTACACCATCTCCTCTTGTACTCCCATTGCATTGTTAACTATTTCTGGTTAGATTTGAAGACCTGATTTGGGCTTAGTGATCTGGCTAAGTCACTGGCAGGTGCTAGGCATTGTGCTGCATATCTGAACTACATGTAAGACCCTGTCTCAAAAATATTAAAAAATAGGCCAGGCATGGTTAAGCACACCTGTAATCCCAGCACTCAGGCTGCTCAGACAGGATTGCTGTGAGTTTGAAGCCAGTGTGGGCTACATAGTAAGTTCAAAGCTGGCCTGAACTATAGAGTAAGACTCTGTCTCAAAAAACAAAATTGATTAATTAAAAATAAAAACAAATAAAATAGAAGTAGATGAACCATCATAGGTTCAATTCATTAAGATGTAAGAGAACAGTATGACATGTAGAATTTTGATTATTCACTAATTTGATTTTAATTATTAATAATTTGATTATTCATTAATTTTTCAGTGATACTTAAGCCAAGCTGATTATGTGTGTTTATGCCTTTTTTTTGGGGGGGTGGTTCTTTGAGACAGGGTCTCACTATGTAGTTGAGAATGACCTGGAACTCACTAAATAGTCCAGGCTGGTCTCGAACTCATAGTGATCCTCCTGCCTAAGCCTCCCGAGTGCTGGGATTACAGGCCTGTGCCACCAGGCCTGGCTTAAATATTTCTTTCTTTGTTGCTTCCTTTTGCCACCCTAAAATGAAGAGAATTCAGTTTGTTTTACAGTTAGGAGCTGGAGCATATTTGCTATTAGTTTCAGCTGAAAGTCTAATGCTTAATTAGCTATACAAGCAATAGGAGTCATGTTAGAAAATAGTAATGAGCTGAAACTTTGATTTTTTTGGTGTGTGTACCCTTTTTTATTATTAGAAAACTAATGGGCTGCAAAATGATACTTATATATTTATACAGTTCCTATTACTTGCTTGTTCATTTCATGCCCAATAATTCTAATTTTAAGCATTAATAAATTTTTTAAATTATTCAAACAGATCATTATAAACCTGCAATTTCCCATCGAGACTTAAACAGTAGAAACGTGCTGGTGAAAAATGATGGAACCTGTGTTATTAGTGACTTCGGGTTGTCCATGAGGCTGACAGGAAATAGACTGGTGCGCCCAGGGGAAGAAGACAATGCAGCCATCAGTGAGGTGAGTATGTTCCAGTTCATTGGTCCATTTTATAAACCATTGCCATTTTAACTCATTTGGACACACATTAGGAAGTATGTAGGAATTGATTTTTTGTAATCACCCTTTAGTTGTCAATCATATCTTTCTTGATCTTTTTCTCTGCATCCACATATACATAAATGTATTTTTATGAATTTTAAAATATTAAATGGTGTACATATTTTTGCAATTTTTTTACTCTCTATGTCTTACAAAGTTTTTATACATAGGAATATCTAGTGCTATTCTAGTTTTGAAAAATATCACTTTAATTTGTCAGGTTGGTACAATTAGGTATATGGCACCAGAAGTGCTAGAAGGAGCTGTGAACCTGAGGGACTGTGAATCAGCTTTGAAGCAAGTAGACATGTATGCACTTGGACTGATCTACTGGGAGATATTTATGAGATGTACAGATCTCTTCCCAGGTAAGAGTCACTGTCAAATGCTGATATTTATTTTGAAGTGAAATGTTTATATCTTCTGTGTCTTATATTAATTTTTATGCAAGAATCTCTTTTACTTTTAAACCTTTAGTTCAAAGGCATCTAGTGTTCACAAGCATTATCAGTAGAAAGCAGGGGTTTTGTTTGTTTGTTTGGTTTTTAAGACTCCTAGTTTTCATCTTCAATACAGTTTAATTGCCAGTTACAGCTTTTAGTTTGGTCTGATTACCTTAGCAGCCATCATTTTCCTAACATGCAGTCTGAGTATTTGAAACAAGCTCCATTTATATTTTTCTTTTTTCTTTTTCCTTTTATTTATTTATTTATTTATTTGTTTGTTTGTTTGTTTGTTTGTTTGTTTATTTTGTGGTACCAGGGATCGAACCTCAGGTCCTTGTGTTTGTGAGTCAGGCGCCAGAACCACTGAGCTAAATCCTCAGCCCTCCATTTATATTTCTTAAGTTGACCCTATAATGAATTAGAAGCAACAATAATTTGTGCGCATTTACCTTTTCCTTTCTCCCTCTCTCCTGCCCTCACTCCTTCTTTTCTTCTTTCTTTTCTCAATCCTTTTCTATTTCATTTCTCCTTTTCATCTTCCCTTTCAGTGAAAAGAATGTTCATTTAATGTGGTTGTATGTTTGAGGCTTACTTGAAATATTCAAATGGATGTATATTTTTTCTCCCCTTGATAGGAATATAGAAATTTTAACCACTAACCTGTACACTGTGTTCTCATAGTTAATTACAAAAAGAGTTGTTTAAGGTTTCTGTCTCATAGGACTAATACCATCAAAAGAAAAAGAAGCCAGCACTGAACATATTTTTGAAATAGATCTACTTAGTAAAAACAGATTAATAGTAGGGTTAAATTATTTTTACTTTAAAGTCATTAACTATTTATAATTCTGAAACATAATGAATTAATGATTATTCAGATAAACTAAAGTCCATCAATTATTATTTAGAAGTACATTCTAGATAAAAGCACAGACTTCAAGGCATTTTTCTTTTTAAATATTTATTTATTCTTTTGGTACCTCTGTGACCTTGTGTATTTTTTTTTAATTTTAAAATTTTTAATCAATACGTTTGTAGTATATAATGATTGCATTCATCATAGGGAGTTGGTACATGGATGTAGTGCACCTTAATTCTTTTTACTTCTCTTTCATTTCCCTTTCTCCCCATCTTTTGGTCCCCTTACCATTTGCAAAAGACATATCCCTGTTGCTATATTATTTATAATTTGGGTTTTTCATGTATGAGAAACCATGTGATATTTAATTCACTTAACATTACAGCCTTAAGGTGCATTTTTCTGAAAAGAACAATAATTATCATAGCATAACAAGTGTTCTATTATTATAATTTTGGCACAGGTTTATTGTTGTTGTTAGCATTCTAAGCCAGAATTTTAGTTTAGAAGAATGTCCAACTAAAATGATTCCTCAGTCAGCATTAGGGTAGTAACCAGCAACAGAACTACTACATTCAAAGGATGACTACTGATTTTGAAATGATTAGTAATGAAGAGCAGTATGACGGGCTGGAGGTATAGCTTCTCTTTAGAGTGCTTGCCTGGCATGTGGAAAGCCTTGGGTTCAATCCTCAGAACTACAAAAGGAAAAAACAGTATCAGGCCAAGTGTGATGGCACATGCCTGTAATCCCAGCACTCGAGAGGCTGAGAGGCAAGATTACTGTGAGTTCAAGGCGAGCCTGGACTACTTATCAGTTTGGACGTATCTCACACAAAAAAACAAACAATATCAGATGTTTGAACTGGGTAAAACTATTAAATGTTATTCGCTGAAGCTTATATTAACAGATACATAGAATATGTTTAATAGAAATAACTAGAAGAGTTAAAAGTTTAAAAAGGAACAGGAAGTTATTGTTTGATGGTTATAGAGTTGGTGATAATGGCTGGCATGGCAGGATGAATATACTTAATGCCTTAGAACTATGCACTTAAAAATTATTTAGAATCTAACAATTTTATGTTATTCATATTGTACTACAATACAAAGTAAATTTAAAGGAATAAAAAGAGAATCAAGCATCTTGATATGAAAATGGGAAGAATCACAACTGAGAGCAAATGCAAGGGGGGAGCACTTTGTCTCTAGTTAGCTGTTAGAAGAATGAGAATCAAAGGAATTGAAGTATTCAGAGATCTGAGAAATAGTGAGGATAGCAGCCAAGAACTGAGAAACAAATATTGGTTTATATTGGAATGATTTAGAGGTGTTCAGATGAGTATTGATAGACAACTGAAAAATTTGTTTTTAGAGAATTTAAAAGAATAAAAAAGATTTTGGGAAAATTAAGATTAAAATGGTTGGGGGCCAGGGATTTCACTCAGTAATGCTGCACCTGCGTTACAAGCACAGGGTCCTGCATTTGCTCCCCAATACCAAAAAAGAAAAAAAAAATTAAAGTGGTTGGGACTGGGGTTATATCACTGTTGTAGAATGCTTCCCTAGTATGCAAAAGACCCTGCACACTCTAGTACCACAGAGAGAGGAAGAGGGAAGAGCAGGGAGGAGAGGGAATTTTTGAATGAATATAACCCCCAGCAGAACAAATGAATAGAGAGAACTTAGTTGTTAAAGACTGAATATTGGGGCCCACCCCCACCAAGTAAATTAATTAAGAAAATTTATGATCAGAAAAACAATAAAAAAACTTAAAAATCATAGTGTCTTGGAAGTCAATGTTATTAAGCTTTAAGAACCAATATATATGTCAGGTGAAATTGAAGACCAAGAAGAGAAAGAATTGAAAGAATGATCTTTGAAATTGAACAGGAGGAAGCCACTGCTTTGCTGCTCTTGTTTTGTTTTGGTTTTGGTTTTTTTCTTTCTTTCTTTTTTGGGGAGGGGCAATACTAGGGAATTGAACCTAGGACCTAGGACCTTTGCATTAAACTACACCCCAACCTCTATCTTCTTTTCTTTTTTGTCTTGTCTTGTCTTGTCTTGAGGCCTGTCTCCCTAAACTGCCCATGCTAGGCTTGAATTTTAATTCCTTTTGCCTCAGCTTTCCTGTACTGGGATTATAGGCTTGTGCAGCTATACCTGGCCATTGGTTTTCTTTGATGAGTTTCTGTGAGATAGAAAAGATAAATCATATTATAGAGACTATAGGAGGAAAAAGTATTAAGAAAGCACAGGCCAAGTATACAGAGCACTTGAAAATTTTAATGAAATGGGGTGGAAGTTGAAAAGAAAAGAAGAGTCGTATAAATGTATTAGTACACCTAGATAATAGCATAATAATTATAAAATTCTTGTAAAATATTTTTAAAACTTTTATGATATACCTTAAAATACAATGCATATAATACTTTATTATTAAATGGGAACATAATAAAGGATGCCTCTTTCTATAAAATATTAGTAAAATAACTGAATTTTATATCTGTATTACAAAAGAAAAGGGAAATGCTACAAAGGAAAGGGAAGGCAGGCAGAAACAGAAGACAAGAAAGAAGAAAGAGATGAAGTATAATTTGGGAAGAGAACTAAAAAAGTCCCAAAAGTAGAAACATTAACAAATGCCAAATGAGCAAGAAACAGGAAATAGTATCTGATAGTATTAGACACCTGGTCTGTTCTCTAGACAGTTTGCATAAAAACTGGGTTTTAGGGCCGGGCATTTAGCTCATTGGTTCCACTGCCTGCCTAGCAAGCACAAGGTCCCGAGTTTGATCCCCAGTACCATTAATTAATTAATTAATATTTAAAATAAACTGGGTTATTAAACTCCCTGGAGCAAGCCAGAGATTATAAAGTTTTAAGGAAATCCAGCAAGGCTTATAATTTCCATAATGATGAGTTTGTCCTTAACTCTTATGTTTACATCTCCCATGCATAAAATTAGCAATAAACCAATATCTTATTTAACAATTAGATCTAGTGCCATAAATATTTAGAGGTACTTAATTTGATAATTCTTCATATTACATTGACATAAAATTGTGTGTCAGTTTTATTCAGCAAGTTTCTAGTTATAATTTAGTCCTAATTAAATAATACTTGGGAGGCATACATGTATGTCATGTGTGTCTCTCTGACAAATCGGATGTACTCATAAATATCTTACAGTCCAGATGGTAAGCCCTGGGTTTTATCATACAGGGTTTCAGTGAAAAAAGTAATATAACTGGCACAATTAGATTCTTTTTTTTTTTTTTCCCCCAGTATTGGGGATCGAACTCATGGCCTTGTGTTAGCAAGGCAGGCACAGCACCACTGATCTAAATTCCTGGCCTGATTAAATCCTTTCTTAATAGTGGCAGTTTCATATGTATTAAAAGTAGTAAAAACAGAAGGGTAAGAAAAAAATGGGCTTGCTGGGCATGGTGGTGCACGGCTGTAATCCCAGCACTCGGGAGGCTGAGGCAGGAGGTTCGTTGTGAGTTTGAGACCAGCCTGGGCTACATAGTGAGTTCCAGGTCAATCTCAACTACATAGTGAGACCCTGTCTCAAAAAAAAGAAAAAAATGGGCTCTCAGAGTGAGTTTGGACTGAAGAAAAAAGGAGGGAAGAGGAAGGAAAAAAATACACCCTTCAGGTGTAGGGTAGACATCATAAAGAGGCCTAATAGCCATGATTAATCTTTTAGTTTGAGTTTGTCTCTCAAATTTAATGTTGATTGTTACTGATTAAAACTAGTATCTTAAATGTTTATGGTATGTGAAAATACCACTTGTAATTATTAAGTAGTATGGAGTTTGTTTTGTTTTGTTTTTTAAGACAGGGTCTCACTATGCAGTTCAGGCTGGCCTTGAACTCACTATATAGCTCAGGCTGGCCTTGAACTTTGACATGATCCTCTTTCTGGTGTGCTGAGATTATAGGTGTGCACCCACCTCACACCACACCCCCACAGTACTATAGTATTTGACTAATTTGGGCTTTGCTTCACAGACTATAAAAATTGTTCAGTTAATCTTTGTAAATCTTTTTTTACTGGTGGAAGACAAGAGTTTGTGGGTTATTTTGAATATTTAAATGAAGCATGAAATTTAAATGGCATGTTTTGTAATGTATCTTCATCTGGGTCATTGGAACTGCGTATTATCTCTGTGAGTGTGAGATAGGGAAAGTGGACATTGGCATTTTGTTGACTGAAGGACTGAGAAACAGAATAGTCAAATGACTTTCCACAGGAGAGATGAGGCCAAGATCAGAATTTGAGTGCCCTACCCTCCATCCCAATGTTCTTCCTTTAATTCCCGTCATTATAATGGGGGGGGATAAGGAGATAGCAAGAGTCTAGATCTGTGTTCTTTGCCAGATTCCCACTAGACCATCCTAAGTGTTAGTTCAAAGGGTCTTCTGTGTGGTTCCATATATTTAATGCATTTAATTTTACCACCTTTTAAAAAAAATCAGAAACCTCTCAAAACAAGCAGCTTGTTATGCTTGTTGATGATGAATATGTTTTTTTTTTTTAAAACTGGCAGGATAGTTAATTATGTTTTAAAATTCTTTAATACTGCTTGTTCAGAATTTCTTAAAATCAGCATAATGAATTGTCTATCATCTGACCATTATCATAAAATTTATTGTGACAGGGCTGGAGATTTAGCTCAGTGGTTCTACCACCTGCCTCACAAGTGCAAGGACCTGAGTTCGATCCCTGGTACTAAAAAAAAAATTACTGTGACATTTAATACAATCTGGTTTTACTGTAATACAGCCAGCAATCTAAGAGGACCTATATGCACCCATATATTTAATTCTATAAGTAGATTTCTTATATTAAATCTGGGAATTTTTCTTCATCTTTACTACCCTCTATTCTCAGGTGGGATCCGAGTTCAGGTATATTTTTTAAATATTAAGAAAGATACCCCCCCAAATTTAGTAGTAGTAGTAGGAACTATTTGTAAATGCCTTTTAATTTTGAATGGGTATAACTCAGTGGTAGAGTATGTGGATAGTAGGTACAAGGCCTTGGGTTTAATTCCTAGCAACAGAAATAAATAAAACACCTGTCCATTATTGAAGCTACCATTTGATTTACCAACAAATATTTGGACTATTCTAAGTTAATAATAATAATAATAATAACAACAATAATAATATAATAGTACATTAAATCTACAACAGGATCTCTTCAGGACAGTGGTAGAGAACCTATGGTATGCATGCCACTGTAGGCTGTTTGTATCATTGAAAGCTCTAAAAGGTTCACTATCACTGCTTTAGGATTTATAAATGTGCCAAAATTATTTGATGTGCATAATTTCTTTGCTTACTTCATGTCAGAAATACTTGTTCTGTCATTTATCATCAGAAATTCTCCTATTCTTTTCTACAAATACACAGGTGAATCTGTACCAGAATACCAGATGGCTTTTCAGACAGAAGTTGGAAACCATCCCACTTTTGAGGATATGCAGGTTCTTGTGTCTAGGGAAAAACAGAGACCCAAGTTCCCAGAAGCCTGGAAAGAAAATAGCCTGGTAAGAAAAGACTAAATTATTAAGAAGAGAACATTTGATTGCATATATTTTAATGTTATTTGAAGCAAAAATAGACTGTTAATGTTAATGGTATTTAAGGTTGCCTAATGCCAAAAATGTAACTTACTTGATTTTGATAATGTTTCATGTTTTTAATCCCCCAACCCCCTATACTGGGGATCTAACTCAGGACCTTGCACTTGTGAGGCAGGAACAGTGTCAAATTTCTTAATATAAAATAATTCCCTTTTTATCTCAGTTTCAGTTTTTTCCAAATATAAAATAATATTTAGGGAAACAGATGTGTCTGAAGTTCTCCAAATTATGTAACAGCTGGAATAATTAACATGACAAAATTTTAAACATTATTGAAATATGACCTAAATTGATATTGAAATATAATCTTCTCTTGAATAATACCAAAAACGTTAACTAACAAAGGCTTACAGATTCAGTGACAAATAAAAATATAGGTTAGACCTAAGAGAAACCTGTATACAGCCTATAAATTCTGCTTACTAAAAATGTAGTCCACAGCCAAGCATGATACATGTCTATAATCTCAGCTATTCAAGAGACTAAGGCAGGGGTATAAAAGTTTTAGCCCAGCCTGCTGAACTTAGTGACTTAGCAAGATCTTGTCTCAAAATGTTAAGAACTGAGGAGGTAGCTCAATTTGAAGTCCTCAGCTGGATTCAGTCCTTAGAGTGAAAGGATTCCTGCCATTTGAGGAAAAAGTTACACCTCTAAAAACATTGTGCAGACATTTATATACTCACATATAGTCATAAGATTGTTTTATTTTTGTTTTTGGGTTTTGTTTTTTTTGTTTTTGGGGGTTTTTTTTGGTACCGGAGATCAAACTCAGGTCCTTGCTCTTGCAAGGCAGGCGGCAGAACCACTGAGCTAAATCCCCGGCCCCATAAGATTGTTTTATATGAGTAGGATCTTGTAATTATCTGCAACACTTCTGAAATTTATTTATTTATTTTTTACTAATAGATAATTTTTAATGTTAATACCTTTAGATGTATTTTATTCCCTCCATTTGGTCCATATTCTATTGTATAATATATAGAAATAATTATGGTACTACAGGGAAGGGGTAATGGGACATTGCCAGAGACCTCTGCAGTGGTCCTGGCCTTCTGCCGATAGTACAATGTTTGTGAGATAGGAAAGTAGGAATTAAAAGAAGCGTATGGTCAGAGACATGAGAGAAACTGAGTCTTAGGCTTAGTTAAGCTGCTCTAGGCAGCAAAGATGAAGGATTCCCAGGACATCCAGTGTTTATTCATTACAAGTGTGGGAAGGTGGGAAAATTGGGCAGGTGTTGGGACACCTGCTGATAAGTGTCAAGCATGCAGGACTGTAGAATGAGGGCACAAAGTATATTTGCTGAAGAGAACAAATAGCTAATTCAGAAAGAGAGAATTTAGTTGGAGTCAGTTGATCTTGACTGGGAGTGAACTTAGCTAAGCTCTGCTACTTCCAGTGTAAAACAGCTGAATTATGGAGGGGCAAGGAGTTTGTGCAACTATAGCTTATTAATACTGGGCAGAAGTATTTGCTACATGGTACCCTTTATTGATGAGAGTACCCTGCATTTCTCTTTTAAGAGAAAGTTATGCTTATACATGATTAAAAAATAAAATAGATCATAAAAAAGGAAATGGAAATGGAAAAACTTTCCCCTTAACTCCTTTTGCAACCTTCTGAGGTTTCTTCCCTCTCTTGTAGAGATTACTGTTTTAATCTCAAATAGTAGTACACCTAGTCTTCTCTTTTATCTCTCATTTACTCTCTTCATTTTATACTACTTCACCTATTATTAGATTATTTATATTTTTACTGTATATTTTTTGAGGGGAAGTGTCTCACTGTGTAGTTTAGGCTTGCCTTGAATTCACAACAATCCTTGTGCCTCAGCCTCCCAAAGTGCTAAGATTGTGGGTGTATGTCACCACACCCAGCCTGTAATCCAAAATTTTATTCTTTTCTTTCTTTCTTTCTTTCTTTCTTTGGTACCAGGGATCAGCTCAGGTCGTTGTACTTGCAAGGCAGGAGGCAGAACTACTGAGCTAAATTCCCAGCCCCTGTAATCCAAAATTTTAAATGATCTTCTTGCAGTGGAGCTGGAGGTGGCATCAATGTCTCATGCATTCTAGATGATTTATAGAAAAATCCAAAAGAATTAAAAAAAAACAAAAAACCTGGAAGTAATGACTGAGTATAGCAAGTATGAGGGCACAAGGTTACTATACAAGGTGAACCATTTTCCTATAAACCAACAATGAACAAGTGAAATTTGATATTTAAAAATTCAGTTTGCTGAGTGTGGTGGTGCACGCCTGTAATCCCTGTACTCGGGAGGCTGAAGCAGGAGGATCACTGTGAGTTCGAGACCAGCCTTAGCTACATAGTGAGTTCCAGGTCAGTCTCAACTACATAGTGAGACCCTGTCTCAAAAAAAACATTAAAAAAAAAAATTCAGTATCATTTGTATTACCACCTTATAAAATAAAGTATTTATGTGTACATCTAACAAAATACATGCAAGGAAAACTACATTTATCTATCTATCTATGGAAAGCTATAAAACTGACGATTAAATCCAGCATTAACTAAATAGAGAGATAGCCCATGTTCATGGATAGGAAAACAATATTGTTAAGATGTTATTTCTGTCCTTATTGGTTTATGAGTTAAATGCAATCTCAGTCAAAGTCTCATCAAGTTATTTTATGGATACCAACAAACTGATTCTAAAGTTTATATGAAAAGTCAAGACCTAGAACAGCCGCCAACACAGTATTGAAGGATGCTGCCTGCCTTGCAAGCACAAGGACCTGAGTTGGATCCCCAGTACCCCCCCCAAAAAATTGAAGGATAAGAACAAAGTTGAAGGACTTACTGTGTCAAGACTTATTATGAAGCTTCAATAATAGAGACAGTTTGGTATTGAGTAAAAAACAGACAAACCAGCAGAATAGAATTGAGAGCCCAGAATCAGACTGACAAAATGTAGTTAACTGATCTTTGAGGAAAGTCAGTACAATGGAAAAAATATAGTATTTTCCAAAAATAATGCTCGAATAACTGGACATCCCCATGCAAATACATAATTTCAAATACAGACCTTACACTCCTCAAAAAAATTAACTCATTATGGATCATAGACCTAAATGTAAAGTAAAAAACTAAAATGCCAACAAGATAACACAGGAGAAAACCTAGGTGACCTTAGGTATGACACTGACATTCTAGATACAACACTAAAGGCATCATCCATCAAGGAAGTAATTAATAGACTGGTCTTCATTAATTTAAAAATATGCCCCGTGAAAGACAGTGTTAAAATAATGAGAAGACAAGCCAAATAGATGAGAAAATATCTGCAAAAGACATATCCAATAAATGACTTTTTCAAAATATACAAAGAAGTCTTAAAATTCAACAGTTAAGAAAAAAACCCATTAAACAATGGTCCAATTTTCCCCAGAGAAGATACATTGATAACAAATAAACATAGGAAAAGACATTCCCCATCATACATTATGAAGACATTGCAAATTAAATCAACACTGAAATACTACTACACACCTACCAGAATGGTCACAATCTAGAAGCAGTAAAAACAACAGTGACTTTCTTCAAACATTATTAATATATCTGGTGCAGCCATAGTGGTACTCTGTGATGGTTGATAAAGAAGAAGGATTTAAACTGTATTTAGTGGTGCATGCCTATAATCCCAACACTCAGGAGGCTGAGGCAAAAGGAGGATCACTGAAAGTTTGAGCTAGCCTGGACTACATAATGAATTCAAAGCCAGCCTGAACTATAGAGTGAAACCTTGTCTCAAAAAGAAAAAAAAAAGAGGTATTCATAAATTAACAAGAGATGGTGCAATTGTTGCTAGCAAGTCGTATTTAGTAAAATAGTGCTGCATCATACATCAAGGGAATTCTAGCTTTTAAAATGGATGTTATGGGGCCAGGGATTTAGCTCAGTGGTTCTGCCGCCCTCCTTGCAAGCACAAGGACCAAAGTTCGATCCTCGGTACCAAAAAAAAAAAAGGATGTTATGGAGCTAGGTATGGTGGTGCATGCCTATAATCCCAGTACTCAGGAGGTTGAGGCAAGAGAATCCCATGAGTTCAAATAGTGAGTTCAAGACTAGCCTGAACTATGTAGGGAGACCCTGTCTGGGGAAAAAAAAAAAAAAGATGTTTGCAGATTTTCATCAAAGCTGTGAATTTCACGAGGTCATCCTAGGGATCAAATAACCAATTCCAAAAAAAGTTCCTTAAGAGTAAAAATTCTGTGCTCACTTCAATAGCATATATGCTAAAATTGGAATGATACAGAGAAGATTAATTAGCATGGCCACTGAGCAAGAATGACATGCAAATTCGTGAAGCAGTCCATATTTATTTTTCATGCTTAATCAGGAATCTTGTTCTGTGATCTCACTAATGAATCAGCAATAAATATTTTGAAACATTAAAAAAAAAAAAAAGAGTAAGGGGCTGGGGATTTAGCTCAGCGGTTTGGTGGCCTGCCTTGCAAGCACAAGGACCTGAGTTGGATCCCCGGTACCAAAGAAAGAGTAAGGATGCTGATTATGGGGACATCATTTTTCTGAAATGAGGTGGCCAAGTTGGAGTAAAATGCTGAAAAGATTTTGTTAATTGTGAAGTGATACTGTCATTTATGGAATCAAGGAACCTGAAGATGAAAATTCCTTACCAGTTTTGCATTTTTTTATTTGACTACTCATTTAAATGGGATAAACGCATCATCAAGGTGAAAGTCAATTTATTTGCAATACTGGGTACAATACTGAGTACAAAATGGAGAGATGGGGGGAAAGTACAGGTGCAAGTTCCTAGTGATGAGTATTATCATTATGTATGCCTAAAATGTACCAGTAAATGTTTGCTATTAAAAAAACACACACACACTCTCACTATACCATCCAACATAGGGTACCTGGTATTTACCCAAAGAAGATGAGTATGTTCACATAAAAATCTGCACACACGTTTGTAGCAGGCTTATTCATAACTGCCCAAACTTGGAAGCAAAGATGTATTTCAGTGGGTGAATGAATAAACACATCATATATCCATCAAAGGAATATCATTCAGCACTAAAAAGAAACTAGCTGCCAAGCCATGAAAGAACAAAGAAAAATTGGTATCTGTATTACTAGGTGAAAGAAGCTAATGTGAAGATACTGTATATACTTTATGATACCAAATAAATGAAAGCAGTACCATGAATTTGGGGAGGTCTCTTATAGCACAAATGAATAAGCCATCCCTTAAATTAGAGATAATGTTGCTCAGTAATAGAGAAGAATAAATGAATTAGCCAAGAATATATAGCTTTTCAGTACTGATTCCCAGTCCAGCAAATTTCCAATATGTTCCACTGTTGAAAAGGAATCTTTATTTAGTTATTTTTTGGCATCTTTTCATACCTTGTGTGTATTATTAGTCAGTGCCAATAAAAATCCCTTTCTCATCACATAAAAATTTAAGTGAAATAAAAATGATTTTGCAGAATTGTGATTATGTTAGCATTTACTGTACAAAAAAGTTATGACTGGATTTATAGGAAATAAGTCCAATCTTACCCCTACCCCTTTAGGGAGAATGTTTCAAAAATAACATACCTGTAATCCTCAAGAAGTTAAGACAAGCAGATCTCAAGTTCAGAGCCAACCTTGGTAACTTAGGTAGAGGCTCAGAAAGTCTGTACTCTAGGTCCGGGGATGTAGCTCAGTGGCGCAGTGCCTGCCTGGCAAGCACCAGGTCCTGGGTTCGATTCCCGGTACCAAAAAAGAAAAGTGAAAAAAAAAAAAGTCTGTACTATATATGTGCACCCGTGTTTATAGTGACAGTTTGTAATAGTTAAAACTTGGAAACAGCCCAGGTGCCTATCAACTGGAGACTGGATAAGATGATGTGGTTTTTCTATAAAATGGAATACTGCTCAGCCATAAAGAATGAGAAACTAGAGTCATTTATAGCTAAATGGATGCATATTGAGGCCATGCTCTTAAGTGAAATAAATAGGACACACATGTAAATACAGAATAGTCTCTCTGGTGTGAAAAACTAAAAGTGTAAATAAAGTTCAAATTGTACAATTGATAATGTAAAATAGAAAAGAGCTAATGGAGTAGGGGAACTGGGAAGGGTAGGGGAAAGGAAAGAAGGAAAAAGAAAAAATATGAGAAAAGGAAAAAATGGAAACAGTCTTTTAAATAGGGAAGGATGGAGGAGAGGTGAAGGAAGGGCAGAGGTATGGGAAAAAAGTAAGAACCAAGATATATCATGTAAAAGATACAAGGTCCCAATAATAAATGTAACTGTACTGTATACCTAAATGGACTAATAAACATAATGAAAAAAAGGGGCAACATTAGGCCAACTTAGCCTAAAGCCACTAGCCGTAATCTATATCCTACATTCAAATTCTTAATAGTAAAATCATGAGGAAGAAAAGATGAAGAGAAACATAAAAGGAAGACATGCATGAACAAGCAGTCCAAGAACGCCTTCCCAAGTTCAGGAGAGATGGAATTCTAATATTTAAGTTTGTTATTGAAACAAAGCATTTAATTACTTTTTTTTAAAAAAAATTTTTTTTAAAGGCTGTGGATGTAGCTCAGTAGTGGAGCACTTGCCTAGTAGCATGAGGTTCTGGTTTTAATCATCAGCACACAAAAATAAAAATAACACCATTAAGTGGATTCTCTTTGATCTCTTGTCATCTTATTCTTTCTAAATTCTACTTAGAAGATATATTTTTTTTAAAATGTCATGCTCTTTCTTGTAAATTGTTTTTTCTTTGACAGAGTTCCTCTTTGAGTGATGTATGTAACTCATATATGTCAGGCCCAGTGCTGCTGAGGTACATCATAAACCTGAATAATAATTTGATTGATCATTGGTTTCAAAATCATAGTCTTTACAGCTTTGAAACCATTTCTCCTTGTCTTCTAGTCTTACTAATGAGAATTTTCATTAGTTTGTTTTTTTGTTTGTTTGTTTGTTTGTTTTTTTAATATTATTTGCTGTTGTCTGTAAACTTTTTGTGTGTTTGTTTTTGTTTTTTTGGTACTGGGGATCGAACTCAGGACCTTGCACTTGCGAGGCAGGCAGCAGAACCACTGAGCTAAATCCCTAGCCCTGCTGTCTGTAAACTTTTAAGACTTCTTTATCATTACAATTGTGAAATTTTTCACCTGAATAAATATCATCATGGATCTGTTCAGTCAAATTGTTTGGCACTGGATAAGAACCTTCCTCAGTCAGAGGAGTTTCCTAATATTAGTTTAAAATTTATTTTTCTAGCTGGATGTTGTGGTACATCCCTGTAATCGCAGTTACTTGAGATGCTGAAGGAGGAGGATTCAAGTTCAAGCCTAACTTAGGATACTTAGTAACTTAGCAAATCCCTGTCTAAAAATAAAAAAGGCTGGGGATGTAGCTGAATATTCCCTGAATTGAAACACCACTACTGGAAAAACAAAAAGGATTTCATTGTTTTCCATCTCTTTGCTATTATTGTTCTACATTGTCCAAGATTTACTCAGATTTACATTTCAGATCACTCATATTTTTCAGTGTTGCCATTGTATCAGTTACCTGATTATTGAAATTTTAAATTTTCGCCACAATATTTATATATCTAGAAGTTCTTATTCCTTGCTTCCTTACAATTTGTCTTTAAGAAATCAATGATTTGACTATATCTGAAGGGGTTGACTGAACTTTTATAGATTTTGTTGACTAATAAAATGAAAAATCATTTAAATCATTTTACAGTATATTTCCACATACCAATTTTATATTGCCTTAGTAAGATTAGAATATTTACATTGGTGTTATGTCAGAAGGAGTCTAGAGAAAACTTGAGTACGTCTGCACAGATTTACTATTTAATCTCCTGGATATCTGTTTATATATGTTTTATGGATTGCATTTGTTTCCTATGCTATGATTCCATCATGTTCCTCAACTCCTCTATTTATCTGTGTCTGCTCTAGAGTTATTAATGATGTCTTTCACTAGAGATACAAGCTCTGTTATCTGGAAAATTATTTCTATTTTATTTTTTCCAAATCCCCTTTTGTTGTCAGTTCAGGGAGTCTAGGTAGTTGATTTTTAGATTGTTCCATCTTGTTGCCCCTTAGGGTTGCCTTTGGTGATCTGGAAGTCTGGCTTTGAGACTTGTTTAGGTGTCTTTCTCATTTCAACCAATGCAGTCTGCTGTGTCTTTATTGAGGTGACTCTTGGCTCTCCCAGTGGGCTTCAATTCTCAACAAGCCTCTCTTCTCTGCTGCTCACTACTGCGCCAATACCTGGATTCAGAATAATGGCCTTTTGGTTCCCCATGCTGGGCTGTTGTCTGGGGCAGGCTTCTGACAGGGGCCTGCACACACTTAGCAGTGGTATCTGGGTTGTCCTGTGGCTGGGGCCTGCAAGCCTGCACAGCTGTTTTCCACATGGGCCTTTTGCTAGGGCCTGCATGCCCAAGCCACTGTTGTCCAGGCAGACTTCTGGCTGGGGAATGTGCTGCCAAGTAGCTGGTATCTGGGCAGGCCTCAGGCTAATGTCTATACAGATTTAGATTGAACCTTGTCTTCATTGGGCATCTTTGTTAGATTACCTTCAAGTTTGGCCTCTTTTTCAAATGAGATTGAAATATTTATGTAGCAGTTAAGAGCCTGTTGTTAAGTACATATGCCCAAGATTTCCTCCAAGCTATAGTTCCTGCTACAGGAAATGGGACAGACCTTTAAGAGATCCCTGAGGGCATCAGTACTTTACCAGGATTCATCAGAGATGCCAGCATCATAGTAGAATGTCCCTTAAAAAATCTTTGTGAAATTTTATTCTAGTGAAATGCAATTTCATCTTCCTTAAATTGCTTTATTTCACAACGCAAGTAAATCTGTTCTTTTAAAGTATCTTTTGGCAGGCCCACCCTTATTGGATATGCATCTCAAGCATATTTATTTAAAAATTCTTTACTTCCAGTTTTGACTAGGTTGCTAAGGTATTTTTAATACTTGGAATCACTTCCAGCATATCCATTTAGATATTATGTGCTATAGTCAATAAAGTATTTCTCTGCAGTGACTATGTAGTACTAGAGTTAGGTACCTAGTATACAGTATGAAAAGAGAAAAATGCACCTTTGTCTAAAAGAAGGCATTTTTTGCTTTCATAATTCCTTTGCAGTTAAAATTCAGAAACAAAATTCAGAAACTTCTGAATAAGAAAGTTATAATCTTATAAACTGCCAGAGACCCAAACACAGATTGTAGATAAAAGTAAAAGAGTAGTCTTTTGATAAAAATGAGAATATAGAAAATAGTCTTAGGGAAACTTATGAAAATGTTAACCATAGTTGCC